TAAAGTAAAGCAAAAATGAGACAATGGAACCATCCAGAGATCAAAATTTGCCCTGAAAGTTTCCCAGTGTGGCCACGGGTGCAAGATGTCTGCCCAGCTCTGCCCACAGGTTCCCTGGGGTTCACCACATTCCTTCTACCCACAACACTCAGCCCTGAGCTGTTCCTCCTCCTCAACTCTCACTCTCTTTCTCTCTTTCAATTCACCAGTCATTTGTCCTTTCCAAGAACTCTTCCAAGACCGGGAAGAGTATTGTCTATATAGCGGTGAAGCACGAGCTCTGGAGTCAAACAGACCTGGGCTTAAGCTTCGCTCTGCCACTTGCTGGCTGAGGGACACGGATACATCAGGTAGTCTCTGAGCTCACTTCCCCACCTGTATAACACTGATAACGATGCCAGTCTCACGGGCGGTAACAAGGATTAAATGAGACAATGCTTGTGCATTAATCAGGGTAGTGAACACTAGCTACTATCACAAAAATTCCAAAATCTCAGTGGCTAGATACAACAAGAGCTCACTCGTCACTCAAGTCACTGGCTGACGTAGAGTGGGTGTCTTTCCTGCACAGCTCCCCTCCCAGAGATGATTCAGGCACCCGCTCCTTCCATCCCCTTGGAGTCCTCCACGGGGCCCCCTCCACCTGGATGACAGCATAGCAAAGACAGAATCAGAGGCCAGGCCAGCAAGTGGCACCCATCAATTCATTTTTACATTGGTTAAAACCCAGTCACATATTCCACCTAATTGCAAAGGAAGCTAGGAAAAAGAGCTGTCCTGGGTGCCCAGGAAGAGGAAACGGGACTGCTAAGCATTTAGCCAGTCTCTGCTACAATCCTTTAGCATGGTGCCTGATACATAGGCAGAGCTCAATAAAGAAAAGACACTATTATAATTACTTTCTATTATCTGTCCGGATACCGGTATGAATATCAGAAACCACAGAACCTTAGGGTGGACTTTTCAGAACACTGAGAATAAATAACCAAATACAAAGTGAAACAAATTTCTTAAAAAAAAAAAAAAAAAGAGAGAGATGGTAATTATATGTCTGACATAAGCTCTGCTTTGAGTATTGTCTGTGAGGCAGCAGGACACACTGGAATGGTGTTCAAATGCTGGCTCTGCCCTGAGCAAAACATTAAAGTCTGTCAGCCATAGGGGTTTTCGTATCTTAAAACAGGAACTCTGCTTTACCCACTTTACAGGGTTCTCCAAAAATGCCATATTCCCTCATCTCTGAGTATACACTTCCCTCTGTCTGGAACCCCCTCCTTATCTGCTCTTCACTCCGCTACCTCCTACTCATCCCTCAATTCTCAGCTTAGATGTCACCTCCTCCAGGAAGCCTTCCCTATCCTCTACTCCAGCTGTGGTCAAGTGCCCGTTTCCTGTGTCCCCATGTTACCTTATACTTCCCTTCTCAGAGTACTTACCACCGAGTATTAAAATCTCTGTTCACTTTCTGTCTCTAGCTAAATCACTGATTTCTTGGGGGAAGGGACCTTGTTTTGATCACCATTTTATCCCCAGCCTCAATACAGTATCTGGCTGATAATGAGTGTGCAGTAAATGTTTGTCATATGAGTGAATTAAGAAAGCTGATCCTTCAAAATGGTAATGGAGTAAGACTTTTAAACTCTTATAACTCAACAAAAAACTAAAAGTAAAGACAAGTTCAGATTGAAACAGCACAGTATATTCCTCCTTAAAAAGGTCAGTGGGAGGGGCAGACCTGTGACTGAGTGGTTAAGTTTGTGCGCTCTGCTGGTTCAGATCCTGGGCGCTGACCTACGCACGGCTCATTAGGCCGGGCTGTTGCAGGGTCCCACACAGGAGAACTACAATGACTTGCAACTAGGAGATACAACTATGTACTGGGGCTTTGGGGAGAATAAAAAGAGGAAGATTGGCAACAGATGTTAGCTCAGGGCCAATCTTCCTCACCAAAAAAAAAGGGGGGGGGGTTGGGTCTGTGGGAACTAAGAAGTCATTTCAGAAAGCAGCCACATCCCCTGGGTCATGCCTGGGTACTCCTCAGCAATTGGCCACTCAATCTCTCACTTGAGCAACAGAGAGTGCAAAAAACATCCTCACACATTAAAAGCCCTGGGACTCTTCCTGCCAGCTGCTCTGAGGGTGTGGAAACAAGAGCTGTCCAGTAAGGTGGCCCTGACTGACCGTGTGTGCTATTGGACCCGGGTGCGTGGGCACACTCTCCACTCTCCAGGCATCGGGGGCATCGCTGACCCTCACTGACCAGCATCAAAAGGTGAGTCTTTCTCGCCCCGATGGAGACCTTCAGAAACAGTTTGGGACCCCCAGCCCCCAGTACACGCAGGTACTCTGAAGCAGGTATCACGTCAACGAAAGTGAAGCGGTTTGTTTCCCACGTCTTTACATCTTCGGTGCACCTGGAGTGAAGTCTCAGATGAGCCAAGTGACACGGAGGTACGAGTGACTGATAACGTGCTACCCAGTTCTCGAGGAGTGCTATTACCCAGCAGTAAAAATAGCTCTAAACGTGAGATTTTAGGCAAACGAGGGAAACCAAAAGGGGCGGGGAGATGTCGTGGGCACCCCTCCAAAAACGTTGTCAGGTAGAGAACTGCCTACTGTACGTCTGGTTAGCTCAGAGCCCTCCACCGAGGTACTAGGGCCACACCAGGACTCACACACGTGCCCTCGCACACCTCCCCGGAGCGCCTGGGACCGTTTTCTTCCCCAAATCCCAGCTGCCGCGGCCACAGTTCCAATCCCAACCCTACTCGGTCCGGTAAAATCAGCTCTGACCTCCCTCGCCCCACCTTCCAAACCCAAACGGGCAAGGCTGTCGCTCGCCACCTGCACCCCAAACACACACACACACACACACACACGCACACATGCACACTTCTCCAGGCTACACAGACAGACCGCTTTCACCCGATCACACTGGGGGCGCAGCGGGGCGGGGAGGGGAAGAATTGGCCAGAGCCCCGCGCCCGTCCTGACAGTCGTGCACCCGCCCTGCCCCTGCATCCTCGCCATCAGCCTGGCGGTCTGCCCGGTGCTGCGGGTTCCCCGCCCGGCACGGGCTCCCAGACGCAGCTGCCTCGGGGGCGGGGCGTTTCGAGGCCCTGCCCCCCTTGACGTCAGTCTCGCAGGGTGCGGGCAGGGAGGCAGCCGGAGCTCTCAGTAGCAGTCCCGCCGCCGAGCCGTGGCTAGAGGCGCGCGGCCCGGCTCCGGCCCCGGAGGATGCGGCGCGCCCAGGATGCTGCCGCGCCTGCTAGTGCCGCTCACGGCGCTCCTCAGCCTGCGCCTCGGCCCCCGCGCTCACGGTAAGGCTCCCGGGCCCGGCCCTACCCTGCCCTGCCCTGCCCTCTCCGCGCCCACCGGCTGGGCTGTGTGGGTGGCCGGAACCGACTCCCGCTCGTCGTCACCCCCCATTAAAGTTCTGTGTCCCCTGGAGAACCCCTTGTGTCTGGGCCTCTGGGGAGAGGGGCGCTCATTATCTGCCTCCTCCCCGAATCCCCCTTATTCTGGCAAGCCTGGATCTCAGGCTCTCTGGTTGTGGAAGTGGAAGAGGCTGAGATTGATTGGGGGAGGGAGCAGGGTGGATAGAGAAGTTAAATGACCCCCCCACACATACACACACTCTCATGGTCCGTGGGCGAGTCATAAAGTTACCTCTGGATTTTTGTTCTAGTTCAGATGATCGATCTGCTTGTCACCCTGGGGAATGACTTTGACCCCCTCTCTGACTCTACCTTCCCTTGGCCCTCCAATTAACCTGTTTTTGCCCGGTGCCATCTCATCCCCATCCCAGCTCTTTTCCCCCACTAACACCCATCACCCCCATCTGATCATCTCTGCTCCTTCTTTAGCCCCTAATGCACTTCCACCGCCATCTGCTTCCCTCCTCCTACCTCTCAGCCCAGTCTCCTAACACAGCCAGCTATCCTGGAAAGTTTCTGTAACTGAGAGGAGTAAACCCTGGAGAGAGAGAATGAAAGGGCCAGGAGGTGGAGGGACCGGGAGCAGGGGCAGGAGAGCAGGCACTGAAACCGCTTCTGCATGACGCCAGAATACGAAGTAAAACCCGCAGCCAGCCGTTCACATGACCGGGAGCTGACTAGGGATGTGCAGCCCAAACACCACAAAGACCCACTACATTTTTCACTTTCCATCTGATGTTTTGAAATCGAGACACAGACTTGAGGATCAAAGACAGTATAAGAAAGAAAGCCAGGGGCAGAGGCAGATATGCTTTCTATGTGAGAATGACAGTCAAAAAAAAGATGCATTATTAGAGAGGTGATGAGAAGTCAAAGAACGGGAGAAGCCTGGGAGAGTCACCGTCAGAAGGAAGAACATTAAGGGATCAAGGAGGAGAGAAGAGGAACTGACTGTGGGTATGGGCCCTGACCTACTTCATTGCACTTGATCGCAAGATTCTTAAAGTAGGTGCATTTATTGCATTCTTACACTTGAGAACAAGTTCAGCAAGGTTAAGTAATTTGCCCAAGTCACACTGGCACGTGTTGGTTTGAGACTCCTGAAGTTGGCGTTTCCTGTGGTGAATGGTGTGTGTTGGGAGGGAGGGGGAGCCAGGATTGAAAATAGGTGGTGGTATTTAGTATCTCACCTTGGAGCCAAGCGTGCTAGCTCTTTGTGGAAATGTCCTAGCCCAGCCCAGAATCAGAGCTGCTTCATTCTGGCTGTCCTTACCCAGCCAGAGGCTGGGCATCTGACTATATGTAAAGCCCTTCTAGAAGCTGGGGAATGGAGCAAGCTCTCAGCTTGGGTTAGATCAGGAGACCTGTGAAGAGGAACAGGCAGATGCCAACAAACAGAGTATCTGTGTACCCAAAGACCTCCGGAGAGAGGCCTTGCCTGGGGCCAGGGTGGGGAGCAGGTGTGGGGATGGGGGCAAGCCGTGGGTGGGGGCTAGAGCAGGGCCAGGGAGGGGCAGAAGCAGGGACTGGGCTCGTCTGAGAGCTCATGTGGACGTCCCTTAGCCCTCAGCGCCTGCCTTCCCACCTGGGATGCGTCAGACCCCGCTGGGCTCTTCTCAGCCACCACTTCTGCTTCTGATCACCGTCAGCACAATGATCTCAGGACACAGCACCAGCTCTGGAATCAGACACATCTGGATTCAAGGCTCCCTCTGCCCCATTGACCTTGGGCAATCACTTAACCTCTCTGAGACTTCATTTCTTCTTGGGTAAAATTGGGGTGATAAACCCTCCCTTGTAGGCGGTTGCGATAATTAAATGAGACGATATACGTCAAGTACTTAGCAGAGAGCTCAACTCATAGTAAAGTACTCAATAAATGGGAGTTGTTAGGATGCTTGCCACCATTACCATCATCATCTTCATCTCTGGGGAGTGGGCTCCGTGAGCTCTGGTACTGACACCCTTCTTCTTGGGGACAGAACTGCCCAGCCCTCCATCTGTGTGGTTTGAAGCAAAATTTTTCCACCACGTCCTCCGCTGGATACCCATCCCAAATCAGTCTGAGAGCACCTATTATGAAGTGGAGCTCATGAGGTAAGGAAAAGGGAGGAAGGAGAAAGGAAGGGAGGGAGGGAAGGGGTGAATGCCTCCCCTTCCACTCCCCTGGCACCCGGAAGATACCTGCCTTGTTACTGAAGTGATGCCAGGAAGGCCCCTGGCGCATATCTATGGGTTGACAAGTGTTGATTGATTCTCACAGGTTCTGATCAGTGTGCTGGGAGCTCTGGAGTGAGCAAGCTGGGGTATTGTCTTTCCCCTCAGGACTTTTCTGTCTTATTAGAAAAAGAGAGAAAGCATCCATAATGTCATTGGTGCATGAGGAACCCCTGCCGACTGCAAATGGAGTGGGACGAAGGGAGAAATTAGGCTGTGCTACAGGGAAGAGCAAGTCTTCCTGGAGGAGTTGGGATTTGAGCTACTCGTATTCCAATCTAAGAGTCTTCTAGACCACAGAGAAATTGTTAGAGGGTCCCAGAACCAAGGGAGATCCCCGTGCAACTGGATACTCTGAACTGGAAGAAATACCTTGAGGGCTCTACCGTCATGGGAGCTCTCTCCCCTGGCCTCTTCCTTCCCTCTTAAAGGAGGTGGGCTTGAGCACGAGTTCCTCTACCAGTGCCCACCCTGATATCTCGCCAGGTATGGAGAAGAGCGCTGGAAGTCTGTCCCCAGCTGTAACCAGACCCTGGCGCTATCCTGTGATCTCACCATGGTGACCCTGGACCTGTACCACAGCGATGGTTACCGAGCCAAAGTCCGGGCAGTGGATGGAAGCCAGCATTCCACCTGGACCCTCAGCAACACCCGCTTCACTGTGGATGAAGGTGCTTTTCCTTGCCTGGGCCTAGAACATGGCTTTTGGGGTATCTTCTAGCCAGAAGCTCTATTCTAGACTTTTCTCTCTGTTCCCACAGAGAACACATCAGCCTGGCTTTGTGGCAGGGGGACCTAGTTGCCCAAACAAGCCTGAGTTAGGACTTTGGAGAAAGTTTGGGTGAAAATAGTGAAATTGCAAGATTTAAAAGGGAACTGGAGTTCTTTATCCTACAGAAGACAAGTCTTGGGGTGACTTGGGGCAGCTGAGTCACAAGGGCCAGGCCTGTGTACTTGTAGGGTTCCAGGAGAGGAAGTGAATCCGTAAGCACTCAGTATAGGATGGCAAGCAGTAGGCAGAACTGGGATCAGGTCTTCCGCATTTTAGGGATGAACTCCCAGGAGTCAGGATGTGGGACTTCGAAGCAGGGAGGTGCTACTGAAGAAAAGCTGGGAGTCTCTTTTTGCCAGAATAAAAGAAAAGGATAGGCTCCACACCTGATGGTATTCTTCCATTCTCCAGATTGGGGTTGACCGTGCTCTGTGTGTGTGGCAAGCCTGCTCTGCAGAATTCCGTCAGAACTGGTGGTCTAGGTCATTGGCTCAAAGTGGCTGCCCGTGGCCAGGTCTCAGCCGGCTGCAGAAACATTACCTGGGGAGTGTGTCTGAAATAGATGTTTCTAGGACCTAGCTTCAAACATTCAGATTCACTGTGTCTTAAGTGGGCCTGGGGCATCTGTAATTTTAATGAGCTCCCCAGGAAGTCATTATGTTCTGCCAGGTTGGGAAACCTGTGGCCCCAGTTTTAGGATGGGTAAAGCTTGACCCTGAAGGCCAGGCATGGGCTGGGGGTCCAGGCCCTCCCCAACAGGCAGGCCTCATGATTTTGCCTCCTCTTCCAGTGACTCTGACAGTTGGTGGCGTGAAGCTAGAGATGCACAAGGGCATCATCCTGGGAACGATCCAGCCTCCCAGGCCCGAGGTGGCCCTTCCAGGCGACACATACGAAAGCATCTTCCCTAACTTCCGAGAGTATGAGGTTGAGATTCGCAAGGGAGAGCGTACGGTATGGGATTCCCCAAGGCCACTTCAGTAACAAGCGGGGCCTGGCTCCCTGGGCTCTCCTGTCCCCTAGGCTGGCAGTGCCTTTTGCGTGCCCCTGGGGGACTTTGCTGCAGAGTAGAGGGAGGGCGTGGGGGCCGGGGAGGGGGTTGGGCTGACTTCAGTCCTCAAACTTGTACTCCTGCCTACCAGGTGTCAGGCACCACCGGAGAACTATTGTTTCCAATCCAATCACCGGTGGATGTTTTATTCCATTTTATCGATGGGGAAGTGAGGCTCCGAGGCGATGTAATTGCCCCAGGGCGCCCCCATCAGTGGGAGATCTAGAATCTGCAAAATCTGTCTTCTTTCTTTCTACCACGGTTGATGCCTGCCCCTTCTGGGAAGGCCTCCTGATCCGTAAAACACTTCCTTTTCTCTTTTTAATACATCATAAACCATGATAATCACAGAGATCCGGGGCTGCATTGATCACACAGCGTTTGTTATCTTAGAAAAAGAACACTGATGGGGGTTGCCCTCCATCATCTCTAGAGGCCCCTCCCGCTTCTCCTGCCGTGAAGCAGGAGCTTTTGTTTATTGCTGCTGTTGTTTTCGTTTCAGTTGATAAGCAAGAAGGTAAAACATGAAAACTTCAGCTTCCCAGCCCCTGGAAAGGTGGGAGAGTTCTGTGTCCGGGTCAAGCCGTCCTACACCTCCCGACTGAACCAGGGGGAGTGGTCGAAGGAGGAGTGCATCGTGGTCACCCCACAGTGTGAGTCAGTCAGGGCTGTTGTCCGGGCCGGGGAGGGAGGCAGGAAGGGCCTTGCACAATCCGAAAAGCATCCATCAAGCGCTGCCGGTGCCAGGCCCTGGCTGGGCACCCCCACACACACAGCTCTCCATCCTCACGCAGCCCTGTGAGAGCGCTCCTATTGTCCCATTTTAGAGATGAGGGAATGGAGGCTCGGTGCTTACAAGCCACTTCCTAGGGCACAGTGGCAGAGCCAGGTCTCCTGATTCTGCGGGTGCCTCCACTCCAGCACAACTGCGCTTTCCAGGATGTCGCCCTCCCCCGCCTGCCACTGTCAGTCAGCTGTGTGTCAGTTCCTGTTTATTACATTCCTCTGCTGTGGCCCCTTGGAGCTGGGGGCACAAAGGGCCATCTCCTTACCCTCCCTCCCTCTCAGAGGAAACAGAACTGAGCTGACTGCTTACCACGGCTGCCAGACTCAACAAATAATGGCTCCCAGCCGGGTGCTAGGAAGGGGAGGGAAGAGAGAGGATATAGGATGTGAAGGCCACGGTCCTGCCCACAAGGATCTTACAGTCTGGCTGGGGAGACAGGGTGTGTCCAGAGGAAGCTGTAACTAGTAACTCAGGACAAGTGCCTGGTAAATCCTACTGACAGTTGTGCCCAGGCTGGGAGTGCCCGGTCCAGGGTGGGCAGAGTCCAGCACAGACCAGGGTGACACCAACATTTCTCCAGTACATTTCAGCTAATGAAGGACCCTCCCGAGCTCATTGTCATTGAAGCCTCACCCTCATTTAAGCAGAGGAGGGCACCACCTGTGCGTCAGCAGCCTTAAGAACTTTTTCAGCATCCACTCACAGATATAAGAAATAGTTTTGTGTACAGCTCTGGGTTCAAATCTCAGATTTACCACTTATGAGATATATGACCCTGGGTAAGTTACTTAACTTCTCTGGCCCTCGGGATCCTGATCTATAAAAATAGGGATGCTAATGGTGTTTACTTCCTACGGTTGTTATAAGGATCAGATAACATAAGTAAAGGATTTGGTAAATGATAAGAGCTGTGTACTTCACAGCCATCTTATGTGGGAGGCACTATTATTTTTCCCATTTTATAGATGAGGAGACTGAGGCTCAGAGAGGCTGAGTAATTTGTCCACAGCTTCTCAGCTAGTAAGTGGCGGAGCTGGGATTTGAACCCAGGTCTGGCTGCTGAAGCATCTGTACTTGCCTGCTGTGCCAAGATTCCCGAGAACCCAGATACATCTAGAGTTGTGGCCTAGAGGTAGGCTGGGAGTCACCTGGGCCGCTCACGGAGTGGATCCTGAGAGTGGCCACAGGATCTCTGGGGACCATCCCTCCACGTCCCGTGTGCCAGGCCACAAACGCCTCTCTCTGGGCCTGCAGATTTCACTGCGACCAACTTCAGCATCTTCTTCGCCTTCTTCCTGCTGCTCTGTGGACTCCTGGCCTACTGCCTGGCCCTGCAGCTGTATGTGCGGCGCCGGGGGAAGCTGCCCGCCGTCCTGGTGAGTCTCACAGCGAGGCCACGGCCCCATCCTCCAGCCGCACCAGCACTCTGGAAGGCAGGGAGCTCCCTCCAGACAGTCCATTCCCTCAGCCTGACGGGATCCGGAGGCACCTTCCTCAGGCGCCCTGGGAATGGAGGGAGGACTTGAACTCAGAGCCCGGTGCTGAGGAAGTGACCTCCTAGTGGCCCAGATAAAACACATCCTCAGTAGTCCCAAACCCCCACATGTCATTTTGTTACTATTTACAGTCACATGTCACTTAACAACAGGAACACACTGAGACATGCGTGATTTCGTCGTCGTGTGAGCGTCATACAGTGTTTGCACACAGGCCTCGATGGCATGGTCTACTACACCCCTAGGCCGTGTGGTGCTAATCTCCTGGGACTGCTGGCGTGCATGTGACCCGTCATTGACCGCAACATCCTTACGCAGCACATGACTGTACTAACAAATGGCCATGGACCTGCCCCTGTGTACTCGTGCTTCTGAGGCAGATACAATGATTATTTTACAACTTTCTAGGAAAAATAAGAGAAAGACATAGACCCTCTGAAATTCTTTTGAGTAAGAACTCCAGGAAGAGGGGAGTCAGGGAGATGAGAGCAGTGGCATTGCCTGGCCTGATTAGGCCTCTGTCCAAGCAAGAGAGCACCGTGTTCCTAGCTGCAGGGCCCTGAGTAGAGAGGTGGGACAAGGACACTGGGCACAGTGCCCCCCACAGCCTTCGCGGATCCTAAAGCTCTTCCCTGTGTCTAAGTCCTTCTCTGTGCTTGGTGCTCTGGGGAGGTTCAGTTCCACAGACACGTCTGCGTCGGCCTGTTGAGCAAGCACTTGGAGCACATTCTGCATGCGGGGCCCAGAGCCGGTCCCGTGGGGAGGGTTAGAGATGAGTGTGCGTGGCGCCCGCCCTCAGGGACGGATAGCTAGAAAGCAGAGCGGGGAGCCAGCTGTTCCTGGCACCCTGGATGGGAGATTCTTAGTCAGGCATCAGGAGAAGCATCTAGGGAGAGAGTGAGCGAGGTGGCAGCTGAGCTGCAGCTATTGATCACCTACGACGTGCAAAATGTGGTGCGGGAAGAAGCTGATAAATGTGGCCCCCAGTCCCAAGGGGCTTGATCACAGCCTGGTGGGCGGCCCGTGTATAAGCTATTAACTTTAATATGTAAACCAGTGAAATAGACACAGATGCAAAAATGCCAAAGGAGATGGCAAGCAACCTCTGATTGGTTGTTCCTTCTGTACGTTTAGATGACAGAACTGAGTTGTCCTCGAGAGTTTTTTCCTCCTCAAGATAAATACAGCCTGATTCCTTTCATCTGATGATCGTGGCCATCACTAAGTGTATGAATAATGTATAGTGCACAGAGCACTTCACGTTTATTGGGTTGTTCTCATTCGTTAGCTGGTTTGATCTGATCTTTCATCAATTTATCAAAGTAAATATTATTGGACAAGTGGAGATTTCAGATCAGGACAGTTGAGTACAAATTCCAGGTTTGTTCTTTGCTGCTGTGTGACTTTGGGCAAGTCATTTAACCTTTCTGATGCTCAGTCTTCTGCTCCAGGAGACAGAGATAATAATACTTCCTTAGAGAATTATTCGGGAGTAAAATTCCGTTTATCAATATTTATTGAGTGCTGTCTGTGTACCAGGCGCTTTCTATTGTTTAAGCACCTTATGTGTGTTAATCACAACACGAGGAGGCGGGGACTGTTATTATTTCCATTTTACAGGTGAGGAACTAAAAGCCAGAAAGGATAAATAACTGGCCAAGGTGAACAGCTGATAAGAGGCAGAGCAGGCATTTGAACTCTTGAAGTCTGGCTCCAGCATACACATCCTTAATCACCCAGCTATGTAATATTAATAGGCATTCAACCAATAAGAGTCACATTAGAGTCATCACATACAAAGGGAATGAGGGCAGATGTGCTACAGTAAGGCAGTAAGTCAGTCAACAAACTTTATGAGTGCTTCCAGTGTGTTAGCTCGGTTAAGCTCTGGGAACAGAGTGGTGAACAAGTCTAGATAGCAACTTCCATCAAGGAGCTTGTATTATGTTGTGGGGTGGGGAATGATTGTATGTGTATGTGTGTGTTGGTGAGGAGAGGGGGAGGGAAGTGAAAACAAATTAAAAAGTAATGCCAGGAACTAAGTGCTAGGAAGAAGTAAACTAGGTTCATGTGGAGTATCTGGAGTACTGCTTTAGCCAGGGTGATCGGGAAGGTCTCTGAGGAGGTGACATCTTTACTGAGACCTGGATGATAAGAAGAACACGGCTCTACAAAGCGCTGAGAGAAGAGTATTCCAACCAGAAGGAGTAGCAAGTGCAAAGGCCCTGAGGCAGCACTGCACTGATGTGCTCTGGAAAAGAAGGAACACCAGTAGGGCTGGGGCAAAGGAGCAAGTGTTAAATGACTTCCCTGGGACCGTTGGCAGTTAATGGGGAGCAGGTCCTCCTCAGCTGCTGGTTCTGTGCTTGTTCCACTCCCCTACACTACAGCCACCCTGTGTTTGTATGAGTCAGAACTCAGGGAGTGGAGGAATTAATCTGTCATCTCACATCTAGCATTTTAAAAAATGAAACGGATAGGAAGGGATAGAATAGAATAAAATAGGTCAGATTAGATTAGATCATGGTACACAGTAGTAACGATAAGTATTATTTTGTGAAGCTGATTTCAGTTATTTATATATGAGTTATATATTTACGGGCTGTTATATACGAGTTATGATGTGACACATTTCTTATTCTGGCTCATAGCCAGAAAAGTAGGAAACCCTTTTCAGATGGATCTGGATGGGTCCAGCCTGCTCTCAGGTGTGAAAAGGATCACCGAGGGAGCCGCCTGAGAACATGCACTGTCGCCTGTGGGCGCCCATCCTGCCTGTAACTCCACCTGGGCTCCGAGAATACAGGCTTCTGGGAAACCTTAGCCAAACTGAGAATTAGGAGAAAAACTCGATTCTGAAATAAACAAAAAGAGCAAGTGACAGAGTAACCCAGCTCTGTGGTCCCCTCTGTTGGAGCAGCACCTCCTGGACCCGTGGCCTCACCTGGCAGCCCTGGGGTGGTTCCTGCAGGTGGCCCTCCGTCTGCCTCACTCTTCTCTCTCCTCTCCAGGTCTTCGAGAAGCCCGGTCCCTTCAGCCTCATCAGCCAGCTTCCCTGCCCAGAGACCCGTGACGTCATCCATCCCCTGGACGAGGAGGCCTTCCCCAAGGTGTCCCCTGAGCTGAGGAACTCGGAGCTGCACGGCAGCACGGACAGTGGCTTTGGCAGTGCCAAGCCATCCCTGCAGACTGAAGAGCCCCACTTCCTCCTCCCTGCCCCCCACCCCCAGGCGGGGGAGACTCTGGGAAAGGGAGCGCCCCCGGAGCTGGAGAACAGTGGCAGTAGCGGCAGCAGCAACAGCACGGACAGCGGGATCTGCTTGCAGGAGCCCAGCCTGAGTCCTGGCACGGGGCTCAACTGGGAGCCGCAGGAGAACAACAGCCAGGGCCAGGATGACAGTGGCATTGGCCTAGTCCAAAACTCCGAGGGACGTCCTGGGGAGGCACGGGATGGCTCAGCCTTGGGCCATGTCGGTTCCCCGGGGCCTGAGGTGTCTGGGGAAGAAGACCCAGCTGCGGTGGCATTCCAGGGCTACCTGAGGCAGACCAGATGCACAGAGGAGGAGGCAGGCTGCCTGGAGGAAGGGTCCTCCTCAACAGATGGCCTTGGCCCCGAATTCAGGACGTGCCTGGATGCCGAGGCAGGCTGGCCTCCACCAGCGCTGGCCAAGGGCTATTTGAAACAGGAGCCCCCAGGAGTGACTCTCGCTGCCTCAGGGGCCCCAGCTGGACAGTGGAACCCACCAAATGAGGAATGGTCACTCCTGGGCTTCGCCAGCTATGGTGACCCCGAAATGTCTGACTGGAGCTTTGCCCATGATCTCGCCCCTCTGGAACCTGTGGCAGCCCCGGGCGGTCTCCTGGGCACATTGGACTCGGACCTTGTCACCCTGCCACTCATCTCTAGCCTGCACTCGATTGAGTGACTTGGGCTGAGGACTGCTGTTGATTTCAGCCATCCGGGGACCAGGAGGAGGGGCCCCAGGGGTCAGCAGTGAAACATAGGCCAGTGTGGGCACCGTTCCGCAAGCCCAGTGGGGCCAGCCCTAGCAGGCCTGGCAGAGCTGGCGAAGGTGCCTGGAGCAGGAGAGGCTCTCTTGCTAAACCGGTGCAGGCCGTGTGGGTGGCACTGACCTGTTTTGCAGACAGGGTCCTGCAGACTCCGGCAGAGCTGAGAAGGCAGGGCAGAGACCGCCTCCCTCCTTGCGACTCTTCCTGTTTCATAAAGGATTATTTGCTCAGGGGAATCGCGGTGTTTTCTGGAGTTGTGGTGAGGCCGCCAGGCTGAAGTCAGCTCAGACCCAGGCCTCCCCCTTAGGCCAGCCGTGTGTCAAGCCCTCCAGCAGGATGGAGGGCTGGGAGGATGGGGACCTCAGGGACTTGCTGCAGGAGGCATTTCTAGCGGGAGAGGAGGGAGCAGAGACCAAGTTTGACCTCTGGAAGGGTCAGAGCTGACCATCAGCCTGGGGTGGTTGCAGGGAGGAGCTCCCTCCCAGGCGGGGAGCTTGTCATGGGAGATCTTAAGGTGTGTCTGTCCTGGTCATGGAGTTAGCCAGTCAGCCATCATTATGGAGCCACAGGGGGACAAAGAAAGCTGAGACCCAGAAGGGGACTCTGGGCTCAGAACTGGTCCCTCTGGGGATGTCTCGTGTCCATCTGCAGACAGCTCCCTCTTTCCAGCAAATAGAGCAGCATTCCACTGGGGCACTTTCCGTGGCCAAGCCACTCACTATCCCCACCCTGCTGCCCCCACCATCTTGCTGACAGTACCAGAGAAACCATGGTTGTCTGTATTGGTCAGAACTCTTCAGACAGCCTCTGGGCTTGGGCACCAGCTCAGCTGCCCCAGAAGGTTGCGGTTGGGACCTGCGCTTGTGTTTGCTGCTAATGTTCAGCTACAGACCCGTAGGACAGGGCACTGGGCTGGGATCCCTGCTCTCAGTGTTCAGCTGTGCGACCCTGGTCCAGCCACTTCTCAAAGGGCCTCAGTTACTCCATCTGTGAAATAAGGGGCCCTCCATGCTGGATATTAACCAAGCTGTCCTGTGGGGTGTCATTGCCAACCCTCTCTGACTCTGAGCTAGGAGAAAGTGAACTCCGGAACCCATGTCTGAGCAAAGCCAGCTGCTTTCTCAGGCTGCAGACTCCCAGATCTCAGCATGGCATCATGCTAAGAGAGCGTCCAGACACAGCCCAGAATGGGGGGCAGGGGCAGGTCCTGCTCCCCGTGGTCACTTTGGAATCTGTCTTCAAAGCCAGTTTACAATCCACGGGCGAGGAAGCTGGGGGGAGTGACAGGCCTGGGGCAGGCTCCCCAGAGTCGTCACATGACCCTGCATTTTTCTGTGGCATTCTGAGAATAGACATTCCTGCCCAGAAAATCCCGCCCGAACCCCTTGCACTCTGCCCAGAAGTTCTTGGGTGCCAGTCCAATGACAACTCCCCCTGGAGACTGAGGCCGGCGGGAGGACTCCTCTGGGTTCCCTGGGAAGCTTTACTTATTTATTTTGTTCATTTATTTATTGGAGAGGCAGCATAGCACAGTGAAAGAATTCTGGGTATTTCAAGAGCCTGGGAGTTCTAGTTCTGACTCCACTGTTTCTTACATTGGGTGACCTTGGGACAGTCACTTTTCCTTATCTGTTTTCTCATCTGTACACTGAGGAGCCTCAGTTTCCTCATCTGTAAAACCTGACTTGTTCCATTCATAGGGACGTTAGGTTCCATTGAGGACATGGATGTGAATGTACCTTGAACACAAAGCTCTGTAAATGAATGATGTATAGTTTTTATCCAATAAATTGTTAGGACTACAGGAATCTTGTGAAACCAGTCAGATTTCTGGTGACACAGTGGCTGGTGGAGGACTCAAGCCGTTGATCATTAAGAATGATAATGAATAAATGTGTGGTGTCACTTTAAGGTAACAGGACCAAGGACTCAGACCCACATCAGGCAGACTCAGGTATAGGGTCTCATACTAACATTATTGTCTGTGACCTTGGGCAAATTACTTACCCTCTCTAAGTGCGTTTCCTTGTCTATAAAATGCGAATAATAATTCCTCCCGGGATGTTTAAATGAGATCATGTGTAAAGAGTTTAACATGGTGCCAGGCATGTGATGGTCCGTGCATAAATAGCTGTCGTCAGCTTTTAAAATTGTAAAGGGAAATGGACAGTTTTTCTTGGAAATGGGTGAAAACGAAAGAGAGAATGAAAACGTCTATAGGAAATTGCTGAAAGAGTATGTAATGAACGTAAAGAAGTATGTAAAGAGTATGTGATATAATGAAAGAGATCATGAAAATGTATGTAAATGAAAGAGTAAAAGGGGTTCTTTCAGCCACTGAAAAGGAAACGGGAAGCGTAACACAGTGTTTTGGATGTGAATTCTGACAATTCGGAAAGGAGACCCTGGAAGCCCCTCCCTTCTGGAAAGACAGCAAACCAGACCTCCCGGGAGCGCCACCACCCGTTCCCCTCGACCTGGAGGTGTGTCCTGGGGTGTTTCTCGTAAGTGTAGAAGCCTCTGCATTCTCTTAAAAGCAGCCTGCTCCTTCCACGAAAAGCCACACGTGGGTTTGACTCTCTCCAAGCTCGGCCCAGCGGGTGGAGCCAACCCCGGGCCTGTGGTCTGAGTCTCCGGTGTACTTTGTTCTTCATCCCAGCCTGGATCCTCGAGGAGGTAACCGTGGACACCTCATCTCTTTTCCCCTGTGTCCTCTCCAGCGATGCCTCTCCCCTGTCACTCAGAAAATACCGGGTTCTGGGGAAGCGCTGATCCTATCGTCTTCAGAGAACCTGACTAATATCACACCATTTAGGACCTGCTCAGACTTTTGCCCTCACGGCCTCCATGCCTGATGGGTAAAAGGTGTGGGGTTGGTCGCCTTTTCCTGGAAATGAGAGTTAGAGATGGCTTCTGTCCCAAGGAAAAGGCCCCTGAGGTAGATTGGGTGAAGACGACAGAGAGGCGAATATAAAGATTCAGAGAACGAGAAGAATCATCCTCAAGGAACTGGGGCCAGTTTGGTTGGAGGAGACGAAACATGGAGGAGCCGAAGGAGGGAGTGGGGTCCGAGGCTGTGGGCTCTGGTACAGGCCGTGCCTGTTTCCCTTCTGTAGGATGAGTGGGAGTTTGTGCTGGGTCTCCTCTGCTTTTAAGCTGCTGTCTGACTGCCCAGCACAGCTGGGGCTGTGGGAGAAATTGAGAGAGTTCTTCCAAACAGCCGGGCAGTAAGACACTTCCACGCTTCTCAAGAATTCAGATTAAAGTCCCCAGGAGAAGGTCCCATTTGTTCTTAAACTGAGTAACCTCCTTCAAGGGCTTTTCCAGGCTGAAGAATGTGTGATTTTGCGTTTTTATGAGCTAATGGAACTTCCTCTTAGTAAGGAGAGAGAGGAAATGGGCCAACATTGACTGAAGAGGAAATTCTATTGAGCTGTGTTTTCCCAACTTTGTAAATAGCTGCAGTCTAAGAGTCTGCCTTGTCTTACCCAAAAGATCTCTGTCCCGCCCCACCCACCCCCAAAGCACACCCCGTCACAGAATGCACACAATCCTTAAGAATGGTCACACCCACAGAGCCCAGGCTGCACTGGGGGCGGAAGTTAGAGTCCCTCATGTGAGCAGCAGAGGAAGGGGAGCTGCAGGCTGCGCCCACCTGGGACAGCACCCTGGTAACTGTGTTCAAGCAGTTGGGGTTGATTTTATCAAGCCCCAACCTAAAGGACACTGGTTAGTGGGAGGCATGACTCATCCACTTCCTGTAGTGCTCATGGGTTTGGGGGGTTCTTTTAAAGCAAATCCACAATTTAGATGCATTTTTATTAATGACCCACAGCACCTTTCCTCACTATCAGCTTGACCTTAGCTTCATCTAGTTCCCCACAAACAGTCGAAAAGGGTCATGGGACCCAATAAACACTCTGACAAGGAAGGGTTGGGTAGGGTGAAATTAATGTTTTATAAAGATAACCTTGGCCAAAGGGTAAGGCATGAGTCAGAAGGGACAAGACGGGATGCAGGGAGACTGGTTGGAGGCGTGTATTGTAGTCAGCATTTCATTTCTTCAAGAAGCATACTATTAAGCACCTACTATGTGCCAGGCATGGCACTCAGCCCTGGGTCCAGAGGGGTGAACAAAAGAGGCACGGCTTCATGGAGGGGGCCATCTGGTTATGAAGATGAACATCAAGCTGATAAACAGACTAACAACTATATTATTACAGTCAGTGATAAGTGCCATGAAAGAAACTAACATTCCACACAAAGGAGGGAGGTGAGAGGCAGAGAAACTGAGTAGGAGGCTGTCCTAGTCAGCTTGGGCCGCCATAATAGAATACCGTGGACTGGGTGGCATAAACAGCAGACATTTGTTTCTCACAGTTCTGGAGGCTGGGGAGTCCAAGATCAAGGCACCAGAGGGTTCAGTTCTTGATGAGGGATCTCTTCCTGGCTTGCAAATGGCCCTCTTCTCCCTTTGTCCTCCTGTGGCAGAGGGAGGGAGAGAAGGAGGGAGAGAGGGAGTGCTCTGGTCTCTCTTCTTTTTCTGATGATGACATCTTATGATGTCTTCATGACCTCATCTAACCCTAATCACCTCCCAAAGGCCCCGCCTCCTAATACCATCACATTAGGGGTTAGGGTTTCAGCAGATGAATTTGGGACACAAGCATTCAGTCCACAACAGGCTTAACTGATAATCCATACAAATGACGATATTGAGCAGGGACAGTGGGAGTAAAGAGAAAGTGACAGATTCAAAAGACATTTTGAAGGGAGAATTGGCAAGACTCCACGGCAGGCTGGAGTGAAGGAAGAAGGAAGTAATCAGAAGGACTCAAGGACTAATCATATTGGAATGTGGATGATGAGCAAAGTGAAATATGCATGTGAAAGGGAGACGTGGGTAGAGGGGGGTGGGGAGATGGGGAGCTCTGGCTTTGATATGACAAGTCTTCCAAGGAAAAGGCCTTCCAGCAGTTGGCAAGGCAGGCCTGGCACTAAGTGAGGGCTCAGGGCTGAGGATTCAGATGTGAAAGCCTTTGTGCTCACTCTGACCCACTTGATGGGTGAGCCCACGTCTTGGGTGTGGAGATGAAGACACAGGTGTGAAGAATACCACTAAGCCCCCCTGCAGCCAATACGCAGTTAGAATATTCACTGGCTGACCTTCAGTCTTGAGGAAAAGCAGGCTACCATCCCTTTGCTCTTAGAGTGACAGGAGCCATGCCTGTACTTGGCCCTGTCTTGCAGACCCCCCAGCCAGGAGCCTCATTGGTGCCATATTGTTCCTTTGACAATCACAGCCCATCTCGAGGGTGCAGCTGAGGGTTTTTAGTAAATCAACCAATCTGCAGAGCTAGTACGCTCTGGAGTGGGCGTGGGTGGGGATCCCAGGTGCAGGCTGGTGCATGATTGGCAAAGGTCTGGGAGTATACACCTATATACCTCTGCCTACACAGCGAAGGAGGAGTTGGTGGAGGTTAAGACCTCATGAATGGCCCTGGAGAAAACAGAAACAATCTTCAGGATCCTGCTACTTGGTCACCCCAACCTGGCAATATTCCTCGTCCTCCACTTCCCCACTCTCCCATCTACCCATCTCCTAGGGCGGTTTCTCAAAGTATCACCTGTAGCAGAATCACCTGGGGGAGCTTGTCTTCCTAAGCTTCTCAAGGCCCAGAATTTCTGAATGCCAGTTGCCAGGGACCTGCTTAGTAAACAAGTTACAGGTGATCAAGTTGCAGATGAATCCCATATGCACTAAAGTTTGAGAGCGACTCCTTTAGAGAATAACGTGAGGATTTGCTGCTTGTTCTATTAAGCTCAACTCTTCTCTCCCCACTGCTCCTGGGTGGTATCACCCACTCCATCCCTTTAAATGCCATCTGGATGCTGACGACTTCCGAATATCCCGATAGGACTTCTCCCCTGAACTCTACCGCCCCCTCAGCAGGTCCATTTGGATGTCTAGCGTGCATCTCAACATTGTAATGTCTCCAACAGAACTCTTGATTCCCCCACACACTCACTCCTCCCCGGGTCTTCCCCTCCTGAGCAAATGGCACCACCATGGCAAACAACCATTTGTCCAGTTGTTTAGGACAAAAACCGGGAGTCATCCCTTCACACTCCACATCTGATCCATCAGGTAGGTCCTATCAGCTCTACCTTCCAAATGTATGGTGAATTCAACCACTTGTCACCACCCCCACGCTATCACCTCAGTCAAATCCATTATCATCTCTCACCTGGACCACTGTCGCTCTGCTTCCACTCCTGCTCCCTTAGTCTAACAGCGTGATTTGTGCAGTCTACTTATTCTAGTGCAGTAGCCAGCATGATCTTTATAAAATACGACTCAGGTCGTGGTATGCCCCTGCTGAAAGCCCTCTCCTTTGCTCTTGGTCCAAATGAGAGGTATAATCCTAGCGAGCTGGTACCTGCTGAGTCTCCCGACACACCTCCTCCACTCTGCTCCGTGCCCACTCTGCTTCAAGCTAATACCCACCTCAGCTCATCTGTCTTTGTTCTCCTGAATTCCTCCCTCATTTTATTCAAGTCTCTGCTCAGGTGGAGCCTCCTTGGAGAGATCTTTGCTGACCGCCCTATCCAAGAATCCTCCTCATCTCCATTCCTTCCCTCTCTAGCCCCAGCTTTTTCCCTTAGCACTTGTCATTATTTGAGGTTATATGATCTATTTGTATGTTTATTTGCTCACAGTCTGTCTCCTCCAATAAAATATAAGATCTGTGAAGGCAGGGACTTATCACTCCTCCATTCCACACCCTAGAGCATATAGTACTAAGTTTGGATTTGTTGAATGAATGGGCGAGCAAGTAAATAAATGAATAAAGACTTAACAACATAATGTGGGAAGTGCTGCCTTCACCTAGGTTGCTCCTCCAGAAGCAGAATCTGATTCAAGGACTTGTGGGCAAGTAGTTTATTTGGAAGGCAATATCAGGGAACAAGCATGAGTGACCAGGAGAGAAGGAAAAGCCAAAACATGGATACGTTATCAAGCTGGTCATGCTGGGAGCAACTGGGCCTTGATCCCACTGGAATGCTCATTGGAGTGTATAGAGGCCTCTTCCAATTGTCCCCTGAGCACTGACAGGAGAAGCCCGGATCCGTCAGCTCTTAAACTCTGCCCGTTGAGTCTTCCCCCATAGGTGTTGACCCCTCTACACTCTCAAGCTGCTGGTGCACAGGGCTCTGTGGGCTCCCCCAGAACAGGAGAGGCCAGGGCTGAAAGCAAGTGACGTGCAGAGGGCACTGGAGACAAGACTTGTCAGCACAAAGTAAGTTGGAGCCCACTCGAAACTGGCTGGAATCAGAGGTGGAGCTGAGAGGATGTGAGGCTGTGGTGGAGGTGTGCACAGGGGTCTACACGGTGCATAGAAGGGGCATTTGGCCCAGCTAGGGTGTTCAATCCATATTTGTTGGACTGAATTGAAAGGAGTGAAATACGTGATTCATTAAATTATGCTAAGTGAGGTTGGGAGACTTTCCCAAAACTTGAGAGATTCTAAGATCTGAGCCAAGAGTTCAAACCTGAAGCAAACAGACAACACACGTAGGAGAACAAGCATGTGTTGCATGATGGAATAGAAAGAAGAAAGCTGGATACACACAGAGGGAGTGTCTGTCAGTCCACTCAGGCTGAATGGACACGCTTCCACGTTAAGGTTGTTAGTCTGGACATGCCCTAAGGGCAAACAGGAAGAGGCAACAGACCTAGGGAGTGGAGAGAATGCTGGGCTGGACTGGCCCTCAGGAGACCCGGGTTCCAGGCTCACCCAGCTCAGTCGCTATCTGTTCTTTTGACGCGAGTCTGCCGTGTCAACTCTGGGCCTCAGTCTTCTCATCTGTGAAATGGAGAGAGTCATCTTCGATCTGACTTCTCTCATAAATGCCCTAGGCATATTGCTGTGATTGAATGAATGCCCTGGGCGTGTTGCTGTCACTGAAGGTCCTACATTCAGTGCTTATTTCACTGTGAACTCTTAAAGAGCAGAAACTCCTCTTGGTTTCTCTCTGTATCCTTCACACCCAACCAATGCTTAACACACAGTATAGGTCCTCAGTAAATTTTTGATGAATAAACGAATGCATGAACAAATGGATTATCCTCACAAGGAAAAGCACTTGAAAGAAGTTGAAGAAACATAATATCTAAACGTGAGATGGCAATGGTGGTAATGGTAGCCTAAGGCTGAATGGATACTTGGGCGACATTAGACTAACCCAAGAAGAAAGCAGACTGTACATAAATTTGATTT